CTCCAACACACACACACACACACACAGGCCCCCTGTACTCCCAACTCCACACAGACACACATTCACACAGGGCCCCCCTCCCCCAACACACACACATGGACCACTCAGCCAGACATCACCCACCCCACACAAAGGGCTCTTCCTGAAGGGACCCATGGAATCCGATTTATTATGGAATCCATTCTAGGACTTACACTATATGAGGGAGAAACCTAGCCCCAAGGTGAGGTTTCTAAGAAAAATAATGACAGCAAGACCCAAAGCTAAGGTAAAAAGTTGTTATTGCAACTTACTAAAATCTAACAGTATTATAACAAAAATACTAAAGCAATTAAAAAAAAAAAAGAATTGCCAAAATCCCACATGACCCTGATAACCACAAATATTTTTGTTAAATTCCACTTCTAAAGCAGGATCTTTGGCAGGAACATAATATTCTGGAGACTTTGGAAACAAAAATCAGGTACTATTCCTGTTGGCTGGTTCTAAATAATCCAAGCCATGGAATGAGAGGAGGGCTTGTTGCCTCTCCCTCTCCCGCAGCCTCTGCTTTTCCCAGTGCAGCCTTTAGACAGCCCATCACTGCAGCAGAGGGTGAAAACCCAAGCCCCCCACTCCACCCTGTGCTGAAGCAGAACATCAGGTGAGGGGGCAGTGACTCCTGGGGCCTTGAATTTTGAAGAGGCTCCCTCAATACCGCTCGGTGAGTCTGCTGCACATTTAGCCTGGAGGAGCACTATTCGAGGGGCACCTGGGTGGCTCAGCCGGTGAAGTGATTGCCTTCGGCTCAGGTCATGATCCTGGGGTCGTGGGATCAAGTCCCCAGGTCAGGCTCCCTGCTCAGCTGGGAGTCTGCTTCTCCCTCTGCCCCTCCCCCTTCTCGCGCTCTCTCTCAAATAAATCAATAAAATCTTTTTTAATTTTTATTTTTTGGATTTTATTGATTTATTTAATTTTATTATGTTAGTCACCATATAATACATCATTAGTTTTTGATGTAGTGAATAAAATCTTTTTAGAAAAAGAGAGAAGCATGGGGCTCCTGGGTGGCTCAGCCGTTAAACGTCTGCCTTCGGCTCAGGTCATGATCCCAGCGTCCTGGGATCAAGCCCTGCATCGGGCTCCCTGCTTGGCAGGAAGCCTGCTTCTCCCTCTCCCGCTCTCCCTGCTTGTGTTCCTGCTCTCTCTCTCTCTCTCTCTGTCAAATAAATAAAATCTTAAGAAAAAAAAAGAGAAGCACTGTTCGAGGGGGAAGAATCAGCCCTTGGACTTCTCGGAAGAGGGCCTGACAGGCCGATGCAGGCCAGCAGGGCAGGTTCTGCCTGAAGACCAGGGTAGAGGAAGCCAAAGACTTTGAAACAAGCGAATGTTTTTTTTCCAAGGACAGTAACCAGTCACTTTACTCTTAGTCTTATGTCGGAGAAAAAAGGGGAAAAAGTCCTTTTTTTTTTTTTAAATTGTAAGGAATCACTGTTTAGGGTTTTTGCAGTATATGGATGAGTGTGCTGTATAAGTGACCACACACTGAAATTTTAAGGGTTAGTTTGGAAAGGAAGTAAAGCTTGTGGGGGAAAAGCCACCAAACTGGAAGAACTTCCTCAACAAAGCAGAGACTGAATGGCAGCACGATGATCTTTCTAGATTATCTTTCTAGTTCTGTCCGAGCTTTGTTTTGCTCCGTCTGGCGCTCCCATACCCCTCGCACAGCTGCAGTGGGGGCGTGGGACCACAACACTGACCCCAAATGGGAAGCAGTGGGGGCGCTCCAGAGCAGAGCCCTCAGAAGTGGACAATCTCTTATTTGTATCATTTGCTCTTCTCCTCAGTACTGTGAGCAAACATCCATTTTGTTCCATTAGTTTAGGAATTACACTAAAAAATTAAACTATATGGGGCGCCTGGGTGGCTCAGTTGGTTAAGCGACTGCCT